ATCTTTGCTAGTATATCGGTTAGTACACGCGCCTGTCATCAGCTCGTAGGCCGCGCGAAAGCTGGGTTCGACTCCCAGGCAGAGAGTTTTGTATTTCTTATCGATCTTCATATATTTTTTCCTGCTGTTTTCACAGGAGTATTACAACACCTTTCATAAACCAATCCTTCGTGGTTATTTAGTCTACTTGATTTCCTGTCTGGCTCGACGAGAATGAGACCGATGGCGGAAGGTATCACACTGCAACTCCAACCGCAAATACAATACACACAACTTCTGGACAGAAATGCGTTCAATGCTCATCTCCATCATGCCCCGCACCATTATACGCCACGCCAGCACTCTGAACATCAGGATCCTCGAGCCCCCTTGCGTCTCGTCTGAGTTCCGCCTCCTCCACTTCCATCGGGTCGTCCATCTCCTCCGCCTCCCCTTCTCCCTCCTCTCCCTCATCCACATCCTCCGCATCGTCCTCAACATCTTCCGGGTCCTCATCACCCTCAAGTTCTTCACCATCTTCACCTAAATGCCCCTCTTCCTCCTGTTCCTGTTCCTGGTCCAGATCCAGATCATCCGCACCCTCATATCCCGCACCCGCACCCGCACCCGCAGCACTAACCGATACCGAAGCAGACGCCGCCTCGCCCAATTCTTCCTCCCAATCCACGTCCATCCTCGCCTCGCGTTCCTTCTGCTCGTGATGGATAAGTGGCGCAGACGTGAATGGCGCGCCGAGGTCTTTGTCTTTCGGGGCTTTGGCCTTGGCCTTGCTTGGCTTTGCCGGGGCGGAGATGGAGGGTGCGATGGAGATGGAGGTGGAGGGGCCGGGGGCGGAGGCACCGGATGGGGGGCCTTTCTTTTTGTCGGTTTTGGCGTTGGCGCGGTAGACTAGAGGGGGTGGGGGGGAAGTTGATGGTGGGGTTTGTTTGATTTGGGTTGGGCAGCAACGTACCGATGAGCTCAGTTTGGAGTTTATCCACAAGATCCCCGAACTCTATCATTTCGAGCGCCTTCAGCACGTCTGAGGCGGATATAGACTTGTGCTGCTTCGACACGGCTACATCATGGGCTCTAGAATACGTTTTGGTTTTTTTTCAGACGTTATACCGGTAATAAGACGTAAAGAACACACGTTGCAGCTGTACAGCATTATAAGCACATGGGGAAGGCAAAGCTTAAAGATAAAGACGAACCAAGGTAGTTGATAAACACCGTCGAACCCTTCACGAGCGAAAGCACCGTCTCCTTTTGGAGCTTGGAGCTTTCTGGCAGCTAAAAAAGCCAAATAATATGATAATTATTATGCCCATAGTAATAAAAGATACAGAGAAAAGGAGAACCTACAGCGGACTTTGCGATCTTGGTTACGAGGCTCTTGGGGAGCTCGAAGTTCTCGATGCCCTCTGAGACGAGGTCTTGCTGGGCCTGTGCAGAGATTGGGCCTACTGGGGTATCTTTGCGTGGCATCGTGAATATTGGAGGTGTGCGTACAGCGAGTGATGGATGGGAGGAGGAGAAGGGACTACGCGCCGTGTGGTGCTGTTTGGCGCTCGTGTTTCTTTCTCTCAGCCCTGACGTTGCTTGAATATTGCTATCACAACAATTTACTCTAGCCGTCCCCACCATAAGTAGGCAAGGGAAGCATCGCAATATTGCCAGGCTTTCAAGTCGAGTTTAGGATGGAATGAATTCGACTCGCGTTAGGGACAATCTCGCTCTGGGCCAGCCTCCAGTGGGGCATGTCTAATTACTACACGGTATAATGCATCAAGTTGTCAGGATCGGCTAGAGCATGACACTTGTACTCCTCGGTCACAGTCTACATGAGCTCATCTGAGGCGAGGGCTGGTCCGATGGATGCTCAATGTCACATTTACGGCAGCATCACATGGGAATTCATCCTCCATCTGCGAGCGCATCAGTCTGAGGCTCTGGAAATCGTAGTGGGGGTTGGACTATTGACAATCAAGGGGATAGAAGCTAATGCCACTGTCTTCATCGCTCTCGGCGATAGTCTTCGAAGCGCTCGAACGTCACCTTGACGTTTCACTTCCTCACATAGGAAATACGCCCAGAGGAACAGCCCTTGGTGATTATCCACCTTCCCGATTTGGGGGCAGAGGCTTTCTCGAAGGGGCTGCACCTGCGCCTGTCCCGCACGACGTAGGAACAAGTATTCTTCATAAGGCTTTGAAGGTGGGTATCATGGGGTTCGATGAAAGTTAGGTACCGAAACCTCGAGCCCAAATTTGTAGGTACCATTTCGGGGGTTGGATGGCCAACCCAACTGTATCTATATATTATCGCCCACTGCTGCGGACAACTACGGCTTACTGTAACGATTTGTGGAGTTGACCGGATCGCTCATGTTCGACCATGCTGGCCGATTGATACCAATATGTCGGCTCACACTTGAATTTCACAAATGCGATGCGTGGGTTGTGCGTGTACAGCAACATACCGCACTGCGACTCACGAGAGCCTAAAGGCCTAAAAACACGAGGTGAGGATTGCGAGCGATACGGTGACGGATAAGTGCGGCCACGGGTATCGCGCGCTTAGCCGTTTTAGAGACGAGGGATGCATTTGAAAGTATCCTGATTGATATCCTTGGTCTGCCATCGCATCGTGTTCTCGAGATGATACCTCCCGCTGGGATCATGGATGTCCGAGCACAGGCCTTGGATGATTTGATATGAAGAATGTTGACTTGTGGCATAAAGTCCTCACTGCCTTGAAGATTGCATGCTTCCAGCTGCAGACAATTTCATGCATTGGAATTTGACATGGTTCGTTCTGGTTGTACATTTGTATCCCATACCGTATACCGGAAGCCCAGTACTCATCTAAATGTAAAATTGTAGTTACATGCGAACCCGAGTACCCCAGCCGCAGTCGCGGGGCCAGTGCACCGTAAACCGCGCTTATAGTGGAAAGAGATCAGGGGGCGGTGCGCCAAGCATACAATACAGATGACTCCAAAAGGAAATTGCAGCGCTTCCAGTCTAATCAGAAACGGGGAGATGTCAGGTGGTAACAACACTTCTTTCACTTTCCTCTTTCCTGAACTCCTCTCCAGCGAGCTTGAAGATTTCCAAACTCGCTGAGATTCTCAATTCCGCAAGCTTATTACTATAACAATCAAAGAAATTCAAAGCCATTATGGCACTACCTCGCGACCCCTCCCCATTTCAGTATCCCTACCCCCCACCATCCCAGCCTCAATCTCAATCCCACTCACCATATCATACATCCCCGTCACCACAACCACAACGACCCCCACATGCTGCAGTTCAATTCACCCAGGAACCACAACAGCGACTCGACCCCAATGACAGCACAAACCCGTACAACTCCGAATCGACCGCGTACGTCCTGAAATCAACGGAGGAGGCAAGGATACTAGTACGCACGCCGAGTCCGACGCCGAGCGAGGAGAGGGAGCTCAGGACGGGCGCGTTTGACTGGAAGAAGATGGGCAGTGTGAAGTTTTGGTTTCGGAGGGAGTGGCTTTGTGAGTTTGATTTCTACTCTGTTCTACGTACTTGAAGATTCTATTCGTTGGTTCGATGCACTCGCCTTTGTTGTATCTTGACTTGGTTTCAATTTAACCTCAATAATCATTGACTGACTGACTGACTTTGTGGCAACTCAGGGTACTACGTCGCGCTGGTTCTAATCCTCGTCCTCACGGCACTTATAACGATATATCACAAACAAATCGTTGGATGGCTCACACCCGTCACCAGGTGGCTACACGAGTGCGTACTCTTCCCCATCATCAATAATTAATTACTGACGCACTTGCGATGTACATAGCCTCAAATTTGGCTGGCTCGTCCCAATAGGCGTCCTCTTCGTCATCTCATTCCCTCCCGTGTGTTTCCCCTCCCTGTTCATCATTCCAAACATGAATATTCATATAATCATACCAACAGCTATTCGGCCACGAAATCGTAGCCATTCTCTGTGGCCTCGTATGGGGCCTCTGGATCGGCTTCGCAATCGTATCAGCGGGCACGCTCCTCGGTGAAATCGGGAATTTCTAGTACGTGCTGTTCACTCGCGACACTCTTCGCTTTTGGTGTTTGTCATACGTTACCGCGAACGAGGAACGTTAACCCCACTTTATGATCAGTGCCTTCAAATACTGCTGCCGCGCGCGCGGAGAGAAGATGGAGAGGACGAACCTCACGTACGCGTGTCTCGCGCAGGTGGTGAGAGACGGCGGGTTCAAGATCGCCATTATTGCGCGGTTGAGCGCGATTCCGGGACACTGTGAGTTGATTTTCGTCCGGGTCCCTTTATCTTCCCCCCTTCCCCCCTTCCTACAACCCCACTTCCCCTTTTACCCACACACACCCACACTCCTCATTTCCTTGACAAGTAAAACGACGCTGACACCCCTCTCCACAGTCACAACAGCAGTCTTCTCGACATGCGGCATGAATATATTCGTGTTCATTATCGCGGCTATCTTGTCGATGCCAAAACAGTTTATTACGGTGTATTTGGGTGTTATTTTGGAGCAGAGCTCGACTGGTGAGTGCC